CGTGGCTTTTGTATTAGACCCGTCGTCCATTTATTTGTAAGTCAATGCATAAAGGTAATATACTTTTACTGTAATAATACAAAAAAAATATCAACTATGAAATCTTCTATTATGAAGTAGCATATCAAATAAGTATACTAATTTATATTATGCAATAATATTAGTAGTTGGCTGAAAAATGAATGAACACCCTATTTGAAAGCGACGCATTACGACTATGAAGCCTCTCACTCGGCTTGTTTTATTAACTAAGTGCGCGGTCCAGTTTAATATACAAGTCCATGCTTGGCGGCAGAAATAGGTAAGGCGGCAGTACTTCCCTGGACGAACTCTTCCACAAAGACCTCTTCTGCTGCTAAAGACTACTTATTCAAGACAAATATTGTTCTTCCTAAGATATATTTTCATTGGCAGTTGTTATTACTTAATAATAAAAAAAAATAAAAAAAATAAGCGGTAGTGCTGTAGTAAAAATCATGGTACATCAATAAAAAATCAAAAGTCGATAAATATTAATAATGATGATTGACTACGTACCCCTCTGATGATAGGCAGGTTTAATAAAGACCCTAATACTGGAACCATTCGTAAGAAATTCACGGCTGCTGGGAGGAAGCCTCTGTAAATAAATTAACAAAAATGTTTATACAATAGAATATCATCACGCATGTCTCCCACCGGGATAGGCAGAGACTATGGATCTCCACTTGCTACGCTCCTGACAAACCTCCTTAGCCTCCTCCTCTCATCAATCTCTTCATACATGCCCGTTTATTTCTGGTACTTTTAACCCGGCCTTTTTTAAGGACATTTTTTTATACAAATGTCAGTACGCAATTGACCTCTATCTCACCTGATGGAAAATGACGATGAAGTCGACGATGGAGCATGCGCACCTAAATAATGCCTAATCACTCTCGCCTTGAACAGGTCCAAGTTATAACTGTGTACCGATTAGGTTCTCGGGTTTCTCTCAGAGAAAAATTGAAGAAGACCGGTATCATGACGTGGCATCACAGTACATTTATTTACTCAAATATTTTGTGAGCCCGTAAAAATATACATAATTTCATTAAGAAAGAAGATATCCATAATATTAACAATAGAACTAAGTCCAAACTCGTGGTACCGTGATTTCGTTTAAGTAAGGTAAACGATTCTTTTATGGGGAACTGTATACGTGTTTACAATAAGATTCCGGAGAATATATTAAGATTATCAAAGTCACATTACAAAATTGAAGTGTATGTTTTAGATAAAGAAGTATGGAAAGACAACAAGAGTCTAGACTCCACACAATTATGATTCAAAATGTATTCCATAGCATTTAAGTTTATTTGAAAAGAGCAATCCATAGAGTTTCTTGCTCGTTCTTCTCAGGGAGGTCAGGGAGGTCAGCGTAGTGAACGTAGCTTACAAAATAGCTTAAAAAGTGACGTTTCCAAGTGTAAAAATTTTACCTATGGAATAAATGATTATTGATTGTACTTTGACTTTGACTAACGTTCAGGGAACAAGTCGCATAGGGGTCACCCCAGCCAATATCTAGTCCCCCGATGATGGAAAGGGGAAGGCGGAAGCAAATTATGCAATTCCATCGCAAACTCTCCGTGATATACCTTGTAAAATAACGATAAGCAGGCAATACGGCGGTGTTCAAGGCTCTGCAGCTTCGCCATTACTAATTCCGAGTCACCTATAAGCCTCTTGTCACGCTTGTCTATTGAATTCAAGGTGGCCAGTTGGTATGTAGCAGAGCCATCCCAAAGGTGGCATGTGGACATCATTAATCTGATTGAGATATGTTCGCCGTGGTCTACCTCTCCCCACGTTTCCATCCACATTCGCTCTATAAATTTGTGCCGTCAATCTTGGTAGATTCATTCTTTCTGCATGACCAAACCATCAAAGCATACCTCTCTCTATTCTTGTCACTACATCATCTTTCATACCACAACGCTCTCTTACTTTTCGGCATTCTATCTTTAAGACTAATACCGCACATATTATTATTACACACATTACAATAGAATAAAATAGAAATTATTTATTTCAGGAATAGGCCCACATAAATTGCGCCACAGTCCCGCTATAATGAATCGATATAAACGCGTGCAAACATCGCGTTGCAAGCAAGAAATTAGTATACTCCCATCCAGTACATCACCAGAAATAGAGACGAAATGTCATTTAATTTTTTTTTTAAACTATTCTGCCAAATCATTACGGTGACAACTGCGCTCTGATTGGCCAACCCGAATTCGAAGCAATTGACGGGTGTCGTCGATTGTTTCACTTCAAATCGACCATGTTGAACTTGAGCTTTGCTATAACGGACGAAAATGGAAAAATTACATAACTTAATATTTAATTACTGATGAAATGAGAGTCCGTTTGTTCTGTAATTAGATGTTTTGCTGTTTTTCCGACACCACCGAATGGAACAGCCTCCATCGTTAGAGATATTATCTTTATTACAATAAATACAGAATATTTTTGGAATATACGGAGACGTACACACAGGTCAGTTGTTGGCGCTGTACTATTTCAGCTTTCTAATTTGTGATTTTGGCGCAAACGAGAGTTGATATTTAAAAAGATATCTGTACCATTTAACTGATGAGTTACCAGGTGTGGATGGCCCTTATTTCGTCTCTATTTCTGGTTATTACTCCACTGGAATTTACACTTAGAATTTCATGTAATTGCTTCATTTCAAAAAACTAACTGAAATTAACAAACAAACTAAAATTAAAATTATCTCTTACCAAAATGCGCGATACATACTTCCTTTGTGGCCGGACGGTTACAATACTGGACTGTCACGCAGAGGTCCCGGGTTCGATTCCCGGGCCGGGAGAAATATTTGTATGGCCTACATTTATTCACCCGGGAGTTGGGGTGTAATTGTGTCTATATGTGTGTCTTCTTCTTATTTCTATATGTTATTCTATATGTGCATCTTATGCCCCTTTTACACGATGGCCATCTCGATGTCTGTGTTCATTCGTCGCATTGTGGAGCGCGAAGATGGACGTGGAGTCAATTGCAGCGGCGGCAATTAATTTATTTACTACGTACAAATATCATTATAAGTGTGCACTGGAACCGAGTTATTAAAAAAAAATGGCGCAAAGGAAGGTGGTGGATACTGACGATCTACGGTAACAGAACAAGGTTTGTAAGTTTTTTTTAAATAAAAAACTGAATAATGGACCATCGTTTGGAGTGCTCGCCAATCTACGCGCCACTATGCTTTGATGTACGCTCGGAGAACCGACAACAAAGCAATAAAGATAAAGATAAATAAAGATCGTGGCTGCCATTACGCCCTCTACACGATGGGCCATCGTGGTAGAAGGGGCATTAGGGTATCAACTGAACAATCATATTATGTGAATAAGAAAATTACCTGAATAACAACAAGAATCCATAAATCTCAGCAATCATGCCGACCATGGGCCACCCAAGCAACACAATGGTGATGCCCCCGAAGAAAGCAACGGAGGCTTTCACCTTGTGCCGTTGGAAGAAAAAGAAGAACGTCCTTTGGAGACCTATAACGCAGGCTAGGCCACTTATGAACAGGATCTGTGAATGAAAAAATTTGTAAATTAAAAAAAATAAGGATATAAATAAAATGTTTTTTTTTTATAATATCAAGTGATGGGCCTGTCCATAACATTTGCATTGCAGTGCCACTCAGAGCTTTATATCGCAAAGGTCTGAGGGGCACTGCCACTGCGCCCGTCACCCTGAGACATACGTTGACAAGTCCCATGTGCCTGTAATTTCCCCAGCACCCTTACCCTTCAAAACCGGTAACAGTAATGCTGACATTACTGTTTGGCGGCAGAAATAGGTGAGGTGGTAAGTACTACCCTAGACGAACTCTTTCACAAGGGGCTCTACTGTTATTTAAAAGTTTAAAAACCATACATTATATATAATCGTCTACGTTTACACACACGCGCGATTTAAGCAGCGGTAAAATGCACGTTTTTAATGATTCAACATATAAGCCACTTAATCGATGGAGTCACGCGTTTCTGCAATCGAAGCAACTATAAATCACTGCCGTCGCGATGCCATGGCGCGTTTGTATCTGCTCCAAATTGAAATAAACAGAATTATTTAGACAGCAACACTGAACTAGAGAAACAAATTACTAAAGCCACAAACTGTCTGTCAGTGTTGCCAGGTCTACTGTTTTTCCAGAAGATCTACTGATTTCGGATGACATCTACTGTTGTTTTAACGTAAATCTACTGTTTTTTAGGGATTTTCAGATTTTTTACTTTTCACAACTATTCTTGTCGGCCTTTTAGGTTTTGTGAATCGTCTTTTCCATTTACGACGTCGTACTTTACGTTTTTGGAATGAAAGTGTAGAGCACATTAATTAAAAAATGTTGTAAACTGTTCTTATTGGATAAAATAGGTACATTATGCACTCCACTGAATGATGTTTTTTAGCTGGTCCATTAAATGTGGCTACTAAAAACCTTTTACGTGCATGCATTTAGCAGTAACGCGATCTCAACTGTGACTCTCTGAACATATTGAACATTTGTCAGAGTTTTTGCAAAACTTTACAATGTTAACCACATTAACACATAAAAATCCGTGAAAGTGGCCCGTTTACTGCCGTCCACTAACTGTAATACGCGGCTAAGTGACAAATCGACTCATTCGTAGAACAAAGATCTATGTGCAAGACTACTTGTTCTCAGGACATAGTACATTTCGTTCGTTCTTCTTCGCTGGAGATGTCACATCGACTGTTGCTCGATTTTATATTACCGAAATGAAATAAGACATATAAAGTTTCAAAACACCTTTACACTAGGCCTTAATTTGAATAAGGAAATTATTCTCGTAACGCACTTATTCTCTTTTCGCGATATAATCACATAGGACTCTGTTCTTCGGATGAGTCGAAATGGTCAAATATCCGTTTTAAACAGCAAAAGATAGAGCACAAAATTCTCTTTTCAAAACAGTGAAAATTAGTTAACATGTTCGACTTATCGGAACTTACATTACCGATTCAAAGCTGAAATATTATTCAACAATTTCGATATTCTAAAACTGGGTTATGGTTTTTTTATGATATCTCTAAAAAATATTTTGTCACTTAGGCCGCATTTTAGTTAGCGGGTGGCAGTTTAGCTCTTTCAGGTATTCTCGATCTAAGATGTTTAAATTAAATATTGTAATGATAAATGTATTTAAATGTTATTTACAAAGAGCAACCCCTAGAGTTTCTTGCTCATTCATCTCAGGGGAATCTGCCTTACAAATGAAGAGTAGAGTTTAATCAGTATGACGGTTTCAAGCGTAATTTGCTTACCTATGAAATAAAGATTATCTGACTTTGACTTTGAAACAATCAAAACTTAGTAACTTGTAGATTATTAACTGTTTCGATTCACAATCGATACTTTGATTAACAATCAAAATGTGAAATGTAGTAACTAATTGACATCAACAATTAAATTACTCCAATTATTTTTATTAACTATTGCCCATCGCTAGCGAAAGCATATAGGAGGCTCGCTTGTGTGCCGGACACAAAATATGCGGAATGCCAATTGTTATCTAATCATTGAGTTACAATTATATGGACGTCAGGTCTGCGCTAAAAAGTGTCCGAACTTATAGGGCGTAAAAATGGTATACAGAGCGTCATTCACGCTTTAGTCTTCGTTTGTTCGACTGACAGCGAAGCAAGCAAAATTAGACAATACTGCGATGACATTACAATTTAAATTCAACATTTTAGCTTTTTTCATATTCCTTTACATGTCACTACGTTTAAATAGGTTGACTTGGGTCATTTTTTCGTGGTTTTTGTATTAGACCCGTCGTCCATTTATTTGTAAGTCAATGTATCTAATAGAATATTTTTATTACAACCAATACTAAATAAAGGTAGACAGGCCTTATTAGTATACATAGTGATTACTTGTACTTACATTCCCAATAGCTAGAAGTCCTTTGTCAAACAGAAGTAAGACTCCAAGGAACAGGAAGGTCATCCCAAAACCCGCAAGGCCTACGCCTATTTCTGTAATAATGATAAAGTCTAATATTACCTGCCGGATTTATGAGTGCGAAACATGGTCGCTAAATAAAGTATAAAGCAAGCACGTTATAGAAGTTGACGGTAGCGAAATAAATATAGTTCATGTGTGAAAACCAAACATTGGACATACATACATAGTGAAAAAAAAATGTTTTATGCCACATCATATGTGCACAAACACAGGTTTAATATATTGGATTATATACTTATTTAATAATATAAAACTATTAATAACATATAAAATATAGGTAATTTAAAACCCATTGATGTGAATAATTGTAAAATATACCTCAATGTTATAAAATAAGAAAAAATTGCATGCGATAACAATATTTGAATAACATGAAACTGGATGTCCTGCATCTTGCTTTCTAAGGACATATTTCAGGTTTTTTTGAAATGACTATAATTTATTATTTCCTCACGCAAAATAGGCGCCTGGACGTCGAGTTGCGGATAACAGCCCATTACACCATACCATATCATTTATTATTTCCGTCAATAACTTAAAAATTATCGTAATTATTGATTAATTTCGACATAATCCTGCTAGATTGCCAAGCTGTGCAATTCCGTGATTAATACGTTGCCTTTTAACTATTATCATAATTTTGAGAACAATTAATGATTTACGGTCATTACGAAATATTATCATGCAATATTTACTTTGTATTTCATAGAAAAATTTGCAATTTTATTAATAAATAGTGCTAAATTTCGTACAAATTTTGAAGTTATACATATCATTGAATACTCACTTTGGGTGTCCGTTATATCTATCATTTTGAAGATAATTTAATAGCAAATTCAATGATAAATATATTGAAACTTAAAATTTTATATTTATCGTTAATTATTATGTACAACAAATTCATAACCTATTACTCCACGTCATTTTTGGGGTAATCAAAATATCGACTGTCAAGTGACTATACTATCGATGTGTTCAAATAAATATAACACTATTGATTTGAAATATGCTGCTAGAATTTTTAAAATATTTAATCTTGATAATAAAATTGCTGCGTTGCAGTTTATTTTTTGGTATTCATATTTTCAAATCAAAGAACAAGAAGAAAAGATTTAATAAGGATAGCCATAAAAGAGAGTATACAATTATTCCGAACGCAGCAAAGTTTCAGTATTGCAATTTATCTTCATAACCTTACCCGAGAAAACATATTATTAAAAACACAAAATCCGTAAACTCTTAGCAAGGAAAAATAAAATATTTATGAAATACATGTATCTGCTTTATTATTTTTTATTCCAAGAACCATAATTCTGTTTATTGTTAGTTTTATTTAAAATATTATTTTAACAATTTTACATTTTTTATAGTTGAACTTTTAATTATAGCAACACAAAGTTAACCTACAAAAAATCAATGGCCGCCTAGAAAACCGCGTCCTTCCTTGCCATTTTGTTTTCGTGAATAATTCACGTTATTCAATATAAATAACACCCTAAACCGGACCGCGCAAGTGTCTATCGCTACCAATCGCAGAATCTCTTCTTTGCTAGTGTAATTTCGCCTTTTATTTCTACAAATTGAGGGCACACGTCAGTATAGACTCGTAACCTACATTTCTGATTGCATTTTCAAGTGAATATGGTAAGAGGTGCAGGTCGTGGCGGCCGCGGAATGCCGGGCCGAGGTGGTATGGGGCGCCCGCCCTTCAGCAGGCCTCGCGTTCTCATGCTGCGGCCGCCTTTCGATCTTATTTTGGCCGAGCCGGCATTTCCCCGTTGCAAGCCCGCTCCGGACGATTCAGCGCTAACTCAGGTTTGTTTACGTTTGCCTACTGTTCTGTGTATTAGTTATATAAAAATTAATCAAAGGAAGACTACGGGTCGATTCAGGACCCCCTATTAGGGTGGTTTTTAATATTAACCAAGGGTTACAGACACCGAGTGAATCACGAAATGCCACCACAGAGATGGGCAAACATTCTTTATTTCAAATTCTTTGTCAGCCTCTGCCACTCAAGTTTCATGATTTCCTTCACTTTTATAACAAAATGTATAATATACATATACCAATGATATAATTTGTTAGTAATTTATATTACTTACTGGAAAATATTTTCTTTTGAAAGTTTTACCTCTAAATAACCTGTTATGAAGTCGCATTAAGTTGGAAATTCAATATCAGTAAAGGTTATTTTTACGAAAGAAACTTCTATCTTTATCCCATTTAGATGAAGATAACTAGCCATACGTGGCACAATTCACTACTATCATATAGTAACGTACGCAGGGCGCGATGCGGTATCAAAAGCTAGGGAGGGGCGGAGAATGATCTTTCTTGTTACTTTTTATTCTCTGGCACCACTATCGCTCTTCGCGCGTGCTGTACCACTGCAATGCTTCTGCACAATCTAATTTGAATACGCCTTGGAATGTGTAACCACGCGCGTTCGGATTGTATCGATACAAATGCGCGACTGCACCGATACAGTCGCTTATGTTGAATAATTATGTACAAAAAGAATCTGTATAAATTTATGCACATTATTTTGTTTTGTTAATTGTAAATTTAAAATTGTATTAACAAATGCATTGACTAAATAAATGACATAGTTAATTAATTTAAAACGTGGATCGCGTATGAATGGTTGCTGCATCGTATTTGCATCGCAACTACATCGCATTTGCATCGCTGCTGAAATTCGCCGTAAATATTAACGTAAAGGAAGATTTTCGATCTTCACTATTAAATACAAAAAGCAACTGCATCACCCTAAATCTGCTGGCCGAGCGACTGACTATCCCTGACTCAAAGAGACTTATTAATAGCCACAGAATCCTGATTTGCCTTAAACCACTTAACTCATCTGCTCATCGTCATCAGTCCAGATTACATGATGAACAAACAAATATCTTTTTTGCAGGCTCTACTAAAAAGACACACTGAGCTCTGTCCTACCCCTGCGGAGCAATCGGCAGTGCTGACTCTCGTTACTAAGCTACAGACCGTGCTGGACAACTTGGTTGTTGCGCCTGGTGATTTTGCAGCATGTGTAAGTGTGCATGCGATACATAGATTAGAATATACTTAACTATACTCCGTTCAACAATTTATTTAACTTTTGATATGTCGAATTCTAATCAACTAGTAATGTCCTAGTGCGTTTTCGATTTGTCAATCGAATCGATTTTACTTATGATGAAGTTTAAATCGTGAATTTGAGTGGGTTCAAAAAAGAAGGTATTGTCTTATTGCGATTGTGATGTTGCATTTGACAATTTGTGAACTCAACAATTAATAATTAATTATAATAATTATAATGAGAATTCAAGTGTTGATGTTGATTCCTGTTCATATGGAGAAGAATCCGACTGTTCATTATACTAAACAATAAGAATTTATTATAATGATTTATAATTTATTTCAGTTCATTATAATTTATAATAAATAAATTATTTAAAATAAATAAATAATTTATTAGACAGTTTTCAAAATTTGTAAACTTCAATAATCTTCGTTGCATAATCTGTAAGCTCGATAAATATCGGAGCTAAAGAGCACATCGCTTCACTAAAATTAAAAATAAAAGAGTCCACGAAGAATGGCATTTTTTGTCGATGGTTGTATGTAAATAATTATGGAACTTTGGAGGCATGCATATGTCAAAAGTTAAATAAATGGTTGAACGGAGTATAGTGGTTTTCAAGGACAATTTGAAGAAAGTCTTCATTATGGTACAGTTTTTTTCTCTGTGCAGTACCACCCGGAGAAGATGTCAGATCTTTTTAATTTCTATTTTAAAACAGCAATTTGCAAAACAGCAAAATGACTCCCTTCGGCCAAAGCTCCTTCGTGAAAGTCGACAGATGATAAGTTGGCACTCTCATAGCGACCTATGCACGTGCAGGGGTTGACGTACACACGCGTGACGTTTCCGCCGGGGCGGAGGGGCGGAGCAGCGATCGGTGATGTATCCATGTTTGTCGACTCGAAACTTCCGTAGCTATATAAAGCTATATATCACACGCGGCACTAACCATGAAAATCGTACAATAAAATGGACACTAAAATATTATGTAATATCTTTACAGCAACTAGAGGAGGTCCGTCAGGTGGGGTCCTATAAGAAGGGCACAATGATGGCGGGCAAGAATGTAGCAGATATTGTTGTCATAATGAAGACGCTGCCTACTAAGGAATCTGTTGAGGGCTTGTCTAATAAGGTAAACTTTTAATTACTTAAGGGAATTACCAATTTTTTTTTATTAGAGGGCTATACTCAAGCGCACGTTCGTCACGCCCGCGCTTCCTCTCTATGTAATTCCGTCTCACGTGTTCAATGTACCTACTACCGCGAAACCGCGTGTGCTACGCATTTCGTAGCAGTAAGGAGATGCTGCTACGCATTTCGTAGCAGTAAGGAGTTACTTTTTAAGGGTAATCACAAACTCGATTTTTTTTCCGAAATAACGTAAGTATGCTTAATGACACGATTAGGTTCGGTTAAGTTAGGACTACTGATAGGTAGGCCAGCGGGCTCTGGACAGGGACTCCGGAGCCTGCATTGCACGGCCTCACTCGTCTGGGGGGCGGGTCGGAGGACAACCGACTCGCCCCTCCGTTGGCGCGGGAGCCCTGGCGCAAGCTAGGGCGGCCGGGCGGCGTCGTGGTGAATGTTCACCGATCCCACGGCGTCGACTCAAACGGCGAGAGGGAAACCCGGGGGGTTTTAGTGGGGTAGGCCCTCCAGTCTGGAGGGAGAGTCCCCACATAAACCCCGAGTCTCCCTGGGCTCAGGGGTATCCATAAAGATTTCCCCCCGTCAAAAAAAAAAAGACCACTGATAGGTAACCTTTTTTAAGTGGTGAAGTCTACGGGGAGCTCAAAGACTGTACCGAGTAGAAAGTGTTCTACGCCTTCGCACACTGGGAATCGAAAACGCAAGGACAATCTTTAAACGATTTTAAACCTTCAAATCAAACCGAAAGACTTTATTATTCGTTAATTAATTAACATACTTTTCAGTATATTCAGTTATAAATATCATTGAAGTTACAATACAATGTCGATTTAGATTTATTACATTAAATTTTAATTTTTATTATATCCCACTTATATTATTTATATATTTATTATTATTTTTGATTAATGACCCCTTGTTGGCTATAGGCCTCCTCCAACTCCTTCCACTTAACTCTATATTGATAAGATGTCGTCGTCCCATCTAGCCCTTGGCCTTCCTATTTTTCTTTTACCGTTTGGACGGTGGCAGGCCATCTGCTGCCTGTTAATCTGGCTATGCGTCGCCATTGGCATTTTTGTTTCATTACATATTGTATCTGTAATTTTGGTTCTGTATCAAAAATTGTTGTGCAGAGTTCCTAGGTCAAAAAAAAAACAAATAAGTAATCCAAATGTTATTTATTATTTCTTTTTTTAAACAATTGTGGGTGTTCTGTTATGATAAAAGTTATTCAGTTTTTAATTAAGCATAAGCACGCGCCACTGATCCATCGCCGCACGATCGTGGCGCGGTGGGCGGAGCTGCGACGCGAGGGAATGTTACAATTGCATCGGCTGGGGTGTGTTATGTGTAGCATGCCTAAATTCGTGGCAGTTTTTTGGATAAGTTTATGAGGTGGTATCTCAACATTTTAGTACCGAATTATACTAAAATAAAAATCACATGTGTTATATTTTCATCAACAATCATAATATTTCAATTTGTTTGTTTTTCTTTTCATCTCGTTCCTCGCGCTAAATTTTGTAACGTTGATAAAGTTAGTGCAGAACTGTCAAATTTTTTTTAAATAAACTGGAGCCATGTTTGGCTCTGTGTTAATCTTTTGCAGTCAATGGTCACGGCGCTCGCGATGACTTAAAAATGTGACGTCATGGTGCTCGCCATGTTAGCTATTGTAATACAATTTTAAAATGCCGGTTTATCACTCGAATTTGAGAGCGGCGTGCTACGGGGGCAGGTTATTGGTGTAATTGCAAAAAAATTTGATACCGTATTATAAAGTATTTTCTACCTTTCATAGGTGAATGAAGAAGTTATAAAACTAATGCGCGCTGAAGGCACCGGCATAGTCGTGTGCGCCTGCCATGAGCGAGGGTTCACGGTCACGGCGGCCGCGGCTGCCGTCCGGGTCTTGGTCACTACACTGCACCAGAATCTGAGGAAGCTTGAGCCGGAGGTAAGTTCACTTGATACCCTTAATAAACTTACGTCCTTTAATCCAATCAGTGCCGCATTTCAGAATAGTCACCATCAACTCAAAGTTCCACTGCTGAGCACGTCTATGGGGAGATTTAGGCCATGGAATAAAGCTACTCTGATACTTTTTCATTTACATACATCTTTATCTAACACATAGTCTTCAATTTTATAATGTCTTTTCAATTAAAATATTTTTAATGTAGTTTTTAAACTTAGGAAATGATAAACTTCATATATGCTCCGGAATCTTATTGTAAAAACGTATACAGTTCCCCATAAAAGAGTCGTTGACCTTGGTTAAACGAAATCGTGGTACCATGAGTTTGAACTTAGCTCTAAGATTAATATATTTAATGTAACCTCTCTTGTCTCTCCATTATCCACTTGATATATTGTACTACAGGCCTGGAGACCTATCATACAAGCTAGACCTAGTTTAGGGTCCAATCTCCTACAAATGTAACTAATTCGAAATACCTTATTCTTAATATGCGTCGTGTAGCTTTGTGAGGAGAAATAATAAATCATTTTGTATTTGTATGTATACTATATATACTAATGCTCGCATATACTAGTCGCGCTGTTATTGAGTACGGAGTTGCCTTACTTGTTACACTCAAGACAGACAGACTGCATGTTAACTGCACTCCTACTGCAATTGTAGTTGGTGTGCAGTTCCAACGAAACGGTTGAATGCAGTTCAAATGCAGATGGAGCTACTGCATTCAAACTGCAAATTTGCAGTCGCAGTACAGTTGAAATGCAGTCTGTCTGTCTAGAACCTTGTTATTCTATAACTATTCTATTAACTATTCTATATTATATTCTATTAACTGCCTCCATGGCCGAACGGTTACCATGCCGGACTGCCACGCAGAGGTCCCAGGTTCGATTCCCGGGCCGGGAGAAATGTTTGTATGGCCTACATTTATTTTTCTCGTGAGTTTGGGTGTAATTTGTGGTTGTCTGTGTGTGTCCATGGCACCCGCGACACAGGGTTTCCCTAGTGCGGGGCTATGTTGAGTGTGTGTGTGTGCGTTATTATCCTACTATGGTAATACTCACATTACTGCTTGCCAGGAGAAATCAATTAGGTGGCGGTCCTTCCCTGGACGAATTCTTTGATAAGGTGTTCTACTGATTCTAAATTCTACAGAACTGAATTAATATACTTACAGGTGCATCTGGACTATAAACTGATAAGCAGCCACCTGGCAGCGATCCGCCACAGCCGCTGGTTTGAGGAGAATGCTCACCATTCTTCTATTAAGGTAATGTTATCATGTTAATAAAATAGCATCGAGTATATAACCAGAAATAGCGACGAAATGTCATTTAATTTGTTCGAAAACTATTCTGCCATATCATTACGGTGACAACTATGCTCCGATTGGCCAGCCCGAATTCGAAACAATTGACGGGTGTAGTCAATTGGTTCACTTCAAATCGACCAGTTTAACTTGAGCTTTGCTATAACGGACGAAAATTTAAAAATTACATATTTAATTATCGAGTTCTTAGGATTTCGCGATTGTTACACATAGGAAATGAAACTATTTTTCCGGATTTAAATCGCGTATATTTGTTTTTTCAAACAAACAAACCTTTCTGTTTGAAAAAACAAATATACGCGATTTAAATCCGGAAAAATAGTTTCATTTCCTACATATTTAATTACCGATGAAATGTGATTCCGTTTGTTTTGTAATTAGATGTTTTGCTGTTTTTCCCACACCACCGAATAGTACAGCACGCCATTGTTAGAGATGTTACCTTTATTACAATAAATACAGTGTATTTTTGGAATATACGAAGACGTACACACAGGTCAGTTGTTGGCGCTGTACTATTTCAGCTTTCTAATTTGTGATTTCAGCGCAAACGAGAGATGAGTTGCCAGGGATGGATAACCCCTATTTCGTCTCTATTTCTGGTTATATACTCGATGTAGTCATACGATGTTGCTTTTATTACTTACAAATTAACCCTGTAGATTTTTTTTATAATATCAAGTGACGGGACAAACGAGTCGTGCACCTGGTGGTAAGCGACACGCCTGTCCATAACAGTTGCAGTGCCACTCAGAGCTTTAAATCACAAAGATCTTATGGGCACTGCCACTGCGCCCGTCACCCTGAGACATAAGTTGCCAAGTCCAATGTGACTATAATTTTACCAGCACCCATGCCCTTCTAAACCGGAACGCAGTAATGCTGACATTACAGCTTGGCGGCAGAAATAGGTAAGGTGGCAGTACTTCCCTGGACGAACTCTTTCACAAGGTGCTCTGCTGCTATTAAAAAAAAGAATTTATCCATGAGAGGGGTCTCACATATCGTGGGTGATATTTCCGATATTGAAAGCGCAACTTCCCAAATGCAAGGGCACTCTGTGTTATTCTCCTCAATGAGAGTTTTACAATTTGAACCTTGCTACAGCAAATCTACCAAAACCTATTCCAAAATGTACAACATTACTATTTGGTCATAGTGGTAGATACATTTTTTAAAAATATACACACTTCTGGTCACATAACTCGAGCCATCTCGCACTTTCAGTAATAAGTGCAATAAGCTTAAACAATGTTTAATTGATCAAAAACTATTTTTACGCAAATTTGAAACTAGTATTCTAAACGTCTTTTCCATAAGTCGTTCTTGGGAATTTTTTCTTCGATGATATCACTATTTTTGTATTCTAGCCCTTTACGACAAAATGCGAGGTGCCTCGAATTATGTGTCCGAAAGTATACAGGCTGTATATTTGAAAGTGGGACATACTCATAGAGTGCGTTATATTCCTGATTCTGAACCCAAAGAAATAATAAACTAATGAACCTAAACTTTATAATATTTTTAAAATTTTTTTTTTTCGACTACTACTTGTGAACAACATTAGTTATCGAAATCTATGCACATCACTATTATTGCTCCGACGCAATGGCGAGCTGCAGCACGGCGGCGAAAATCAAAGCACGGGTCGGGGGTGGGGGCGCAGGCGCATAGAGACAGTGCATGCGCGATCTTGGTCTAGCGAAGATACGTAAATTATTTGTACCTCCGCTCGCTCGCGCAAAATAGATATTTATTCTAACGTCGAATTGACTGAGATTGTGCGACTTTACGCAATAAGTGGTGATAGTGTGAGACGAGCTATTGAAATGTTCCCAAATCGGAGTTTTACGCGCAGGAGGTAAACAGTGTCGAAGTGTTGCATGAGAGGATTATCTCTGCATTTTATACTGTGAGACAAAATGTGTTTGTGTTGAACAATTTAAAACAAAATTTACTACGACGTGCTACAATATGCATTGTGGGAAACGGTGGACATTTTGAACACTTGCTCCGTAAATAACTAAAACTAACTAAAAAATCAATCATTGTAAATAATTTGATTTCACATTTTTAACTACGCCAAAAACCTCAATTCTTATTAAATGATAACTAGTTACTAAATCATAAACTAATCTTTTTTAGTACGTAAAACATTTTGAAGATAGTTCAGAAGTAAAAAATAATTAGCATAAGCTAAAACATAATCATTTCGATAATAGCTTTTTTCATCATAACATAAATAAGCGTAGGTGATTAACTTAGTTTTTTTATTTTCTAGTAACTTAGTTTTTTATTTTCTAGAGAAAAGAGGTGCTTTTAGTAGGAAGGGAGATGTGAAATCATTGTTATTGTTGCTGTCTCAGTCGACATTCGCTTGGTAGTATTCCCATTGCAGTCGAAATCAAGCGTAAAGGGATTAGGTTTATTCCTATGTACACTCCAAAACAAATTTGTTGGTTTATTTTTTGTTCTATCCCATATCCTAATTTTATTTTAGTCTATATTAAGTTGTAACATGATTTACTATGACATGTATGAATGTCTCCCTTTCAAATATACAGCCTGTATAATGACATTCGCCTATAAAATTAATTATTTTTTTAAAGCCCAATCACTTAATAGTCGTTTCTTTATTATTAAATACAAAGATCGAACACCAAAGAAAATTACTTTGGCCCGACATGACTTGAACCTGGGGGTTACTCTCGATCTCCGTCGAAATCCGTCCGAAACAATTACTGTGAAATAAGTAATATTCGACAAAATTAAAAGACTAGTATCCAGTATGAAGCTTCATTCGCATCACGCGTTTTTTCATTTGGTCAAGTATTGCTTATTTGGCAATAATTGTTTCGGACGGATGCCGGACGGAGATCGAGAGTAGACCCCCTGGGACCACGGCATTCCGTCCCCATTGCTCTTCTAACTAAGCTATGTAGGTCGAGTTACTAAGTCGACGAAATTCTTCTATGTGTCTGTTATATATATTCGCGTTGAGTTTTTCGGCTTTCGACACTGTTTTTTTTTTTTGTTATGTCGTTCTCGGACTATAAGTTCACTACCTAATTTCCATGGCAACTTAAATATTCAAGTATATTACAGTGTAATAGCTACAAACCACCAAATATTATTTATTTTTTCCAATTCCGGATGTCCGGGAATTGTTTTACTGCATCGTAGGACAAACTGCTGACCTAGGAAGTCGAAGTTGGATTTTAAAGTAAATCTAATGGTGCCATGTAAAAAAATGCCGTAGATGACTGACAGCCTTGTTGCCGTTCCGTCAATGTGACTGTAAATATGCGGAGCACAGTGCGGTATCTAAAGCTAGGGAAGGGCGGAGAGTGAACATTATCGTTACTTTTTTATTCTCTGCTTTGGTAAAAGGTCAGTTTAGCATTTAAGTTTACTTAAAAAGAGCAATCCCTAGAGTTTCTTGCTCGTTCTTCTCAGGGAAGTCAGCACATTGAACGAGCAGTAGCTTAAAAAAATGACGTTTTCCAAGTGTAAAATTTTAACTATGAAATAAATTATTATTTGACTGTGAATTTTAAAATGGTAGAAGAGGCACAGTCGACCGGGGTCAGGGATTCATGTTAAGGAACATATCGAGCAGCACCGTGTATTACATTTGTGCAAACACGCGACAAAAATACAACTGTCTAGGCAAATTTGGTTGGAATTAACCCGTATGTTGATTTTTTTTTTCAGGTTCTTATCCGTCTATTACGCGATATGTGCGCGCGTCACTCGGGACTTGAACCCCTCACCCCCTGGATGATAGACCTGCTAGCTCACCACTGCATCATGAATAACCCTGCCAGGCAGGCATTGCCTATTAACGTCGCTTTCAGGTGAGTCATTTGTCAGTAGTCTCTAACTACAACTAATTGAATTGGGAATCATCATAATTGTTATAATTATTATGGCCATTCAAAAAGAGAGCCGTGCTGTGACTTTACAGCGTCATCCCACCTTTTTATCGCCTTTTCTCCGGTTCTTGGCCACTTATTTTTAAAGAAGGGTGGAGAAAACTGCCCCAAAAACGAAGAAGAGCCGTTCGTGGACTTTGCTATTATAATTTTGCGTTTTCATTTATGCCTAGTTATCAATATATTTTTGTATATTAGAAATCGGGAATAAAAAATTGCGAAACATTGTATTTTAGAATAGATGCAAGAACACAGGCGACAATAAAAAGAGGCAATTGATTCAGTTGGACCATAGGTTAGGTAACGTTTTTGTACATACATTTCATTTTAACAATGACAGAATGTTTACCTTCCTGAAGTATTGGTTATTTTATAGAACACACATAAAACATTAAAGCTATAGAATACCTAATGAAATCAATTAAACAATAATGGCATAAAGCAAAAAATAAAACACAATGTGACAAAAATATTAAAACAATATTTAAATGAGAGATAATGAAAGTTGCAAAGGAACGTTTTGACAAGAGACCTCTTGCGAATGTCATATTGACATTGAAAGCAGTGTTATCACATGTGGCAGATTTCTGCCATTTGGGCAGATTTCTGCCATTTGGGCAGATTTCTGCCATTTGGGCAGATTTCTGCCATTTGGGCAGATTTAATTTTTACACAAATAAATGTGGCTGAATTTGGCAGATTTGGGAATATTCGGGAAGTTCTTTATTATTTTTGGGAACAAACTGAAAACTTGTTGTCTGATACCACGAACAAACATATGAAGCGAAATACAGACAATATTATAAACGTAACCTATATCAACTTTATAACCCCAGCTCAATCTATAGGCTGTACTCAGTTAGCTTTTATGATGCTTTGATAATGAATCACAAGTATTGATGAGTCACAAAATACGCAGAATGCCGCATCTTTCTTTTGAATCGTTCTTTAATTCCTTTGTCTCGTCATTCTGATTTTGTTTCGTTTCGTTAAATAATTTTAATTGTTTTTAAAAGAGAATTATGTGCTCTATTTTTTTTCTATTTAAAACGGATATTTGGCCTTTTGTCACTTAGCCGCCTCTTAGTGGACGGCAGTACTGAGGTACCCCCTTTCCAAAAAATAAGAACAATCGAAGTCGGTTCAGGAACGTCGAGTAATCGAATAACATACATTTAAAAATTATTTATAATTATTTCTGAACAAGGCAGCTTCTTTTTTTTATAATACTAAATGACGGGACGAACAAGTCGTACGCCAAGTGGTAAGCGACACGCCTATCCACAGCAGTTGCAGTGCCATTCAGAGCTTTAAATCGCAAAGATCTGAGGGGCACTGCCACTGCGCCAGCTTCCTTTGCCTTCCAAACTGCTTGGCGGTACTTACTGCCGAAGTATGAAACCGTTCCCACGTAAGCGATGTCTGGCAGGCGCGCGCTGGCGCTGGTGGCGTCGGGGCTGTTCCTGCCGGGCAGCGCGGGGCTGGCCGACCCCTGCGAGGCGGCGCACGCGCGCGCGCACACCGCGCTGGACCTCGCCGCGCAGGACGCCGCGGCCGCCACGGCGCAGACGTGAGTGCACTCCTTTGTTCCTTACAACTAAACCACCTTCACGTCACGTTTCAACCAACACTTCGCTCGCCCGAGGACCGCCCCGATGGACCGCGGGCATCGAGTATATAACCGGAAATAGAGACGAAATGTCATTTAATTTGTTTCGAAACTATTCTGCCAAATCATTACGGTGACAACTGCGCTCCGATTGGCCGGCCCGAATTCGAAACAATTAACGGGTGTCGTAACTTGTTTCACTTCAAATCGACCAGTTAACTTGAGCTTTGCTATAATGGACGAAAATTGAAAAATTACGTATTTAATTACCGATGAAATGTGATTCGGTTTGTTTTGTAATTAGATGTTTTGCTGTTTTTCTTACACCACCGAATAAAACAGCCCCCATTGTTCGAGATATTATCTTTATTACAATAAATACAGAATATTTTTGGAATATACGGAGACGTCCACAAGGGTCAGTTGTTGGCGCTGTACTATTTCAGCTTACTAATTTGTGATTTCAGCGCAAATGAGAGTTGATGTTTAAAAGTGATATAAGGCCCATTTGCCTGATGAGTTGCCAGGGATGGATAGCCCTTATTTCGTCTATATATCTGGTTATATATTCGATTACCAACTATACATACCGTTGGAAACAGCTAATGTTTCTGATTCCAACGGTATATGTAATTCAATATGACCCAAAAGTGTCGCCTATCCTATTTTGCCTTTCGAGCGTCGAACAGAGAAAAAGGTCTTCAATTGGAGCATAGCAAAATCAACCATTAGAATAATTGCTCCTTATAAAATTTAGGCGCTATTTACAAAAATAAGTCTTCATGCGTGAACAGCCACCCGTCGAGGTGGAATATTTCCTTCAAAATAAAATTAGACTACTACTGAGGTACCCTCTTTCCAACAAAAAAGTATCATCAAAATCGGTTTACAAATACCGAAGCTAGCGCATAACATACACACACAAAAAGGAGTCGAATTGAGAACCTCCTTTTTGGTAAGTCGGTTAACTTTTGGGTTATAAATTGTTCCACGTGGATTTGAGTACATGGAACTACTGAGAATGAACGTTTTCTGTTTACTTATCCTGAGCTTCGAAGCGTTGTCTGGAAAAGATCACGTGCAGCGATTCTAAGTTGTTTATGTACCGTTTTTGTCTGTGAACAATGAAGTCTTATCTACTTTCCAACAGCCTACTCCGCGTGGTTGCCCGCGGTGGTCACCGCTACGTCCTTGGTCTTCAGTCTTTCGAAGGTGGGAAAGACATTTCCACGGAAATCACAGTATGGGACGGCGTGGTCGTCTCGCCCCTCGCTCCTGCGTACCAGGACACCCCAGAGCCCATGGACACTGACGACAAAGGTGGGTTCTACCACTGTACACAGGTCAACTTCGTGTGCTACATCTGAGCTAGGCGTTGCACTGTCGGTTACTAAACAAAAAAATAACCGGCAGTAACCGTAGAAATCTGTGCAATAAGCGCCATCTATACGCCGTCCAACCATTCATTTAACTTTTTAAGTTTAACAAAAACCTACCTCCATTATTTGTAGACATCGAGTATAGAACCCTTAGAGAATGAAAAAAAAATAAAAGAAAGAAGCTGCCCTAACTACAAAATCAACGTGCATATAACCAAAATTTGAAAGTTACAAATGGCGGATTTCTTTAGTGTTTTACCATAATCTATCGATAAGTCATTATCGACATGAAAATGTATGGCTTGAGTGTTGTTGAAATGTGTGTTGAAACTGTTTTTTTCTTTAGTTTACTGTAACCAAAGTGTGTCTAAACAAACACAAGTCTAATAATTTAATCTCGAGTGGTGGTATATTATTATAAATGTCAACACACATTTCGCTGTCTTGTGTTGCAATTATCAGTCGCACTCACGTTTAACAACTCAATTTTCATATTAGTTAAGCCTTTTTACACACTCTGTAATTATTTTTATTTCAGATGATGAAGCTCAAGACGGTGTTGCCGCCTAATAGAATAATTCACAAATGGCCACACTCTAATTCATATGAACGGTGAATAATCCACTACAATTCTGTATCTTCTGTCTATATCACTATTCGTAGTGAACCAAGCGGGTACGGTGATTCGCTGTTAATTTTCAATGCTTTCAATTGAATTTCTGTGTTGAGCCATTATGTGAGCTTACGTCCATCAAATGCGTCAAAGATTTATTCCAAATGGACTATTTTTAAGAGTATTCCGTACTTTAATAAAAATAAATTTATATAAACCCTGTTTAATTTAATCCCAGCGGTGGTAACCGGAGAGCGCGTGCGCAGGCACAGTTGGCCTGAACAATGATTTTCGATTTTAGAATATCAAGTGATGGGACGTACACCCTGAGACATAAGTTGACAAGTCCCATGTGCCAGTAATTTCACCAGCACCCTTACCCTAAAAACCGGAACGCAGTAATTCTCATATTACTGCTCGGCGGTAGAAATAGGCAAATAATTCCCTGAACGAACTGTCAGAAGGAACACTTTCTAGATTAATTCGAGAGTGTTCTTTAACAGACTACAATGCGAACTGAGAAGAATAGTTATGAAAATATAGAGGAATTGAAGCGATTTTTTTAAACAGGATGATTTTGAAATCATTAGCACCCGTTGAACCCATTGATCTACTAGGCTAAAGAAATATTTTAGAGTAATTTTAATTAGGAATAGTGTAAAACCATTATTGAAAAAAATATATAAATATATCTTACCCAAATAAAGTTAAGTATCAAAACGAGACGGGACGCTTCTTCACATTATTACTAATATAAAATGTAGCGAGTATAATCAGAGGTATATTCGGCAAAACACCTCCAGCTGAGACTTGCCTATTTATCCACATTTGTGTAACTTTATATTATTTACAGCTAAGTTGTTGTTATTGCAATGTTGATAAATAAAGCTCTTTATTATTATTATCCGCCATTCTCACATTCGGTATTTTCAGCCTAATTACCGTAGCATATTGTTTTTTCTTGTTTAATATATCCAATGACATTGAAGTATGAACAACTTTAAGGGTCGTATTCCAGAACTCTACTCAATGCTTAAGTCAGGATTTGAACAGACTTGAGTATGATTTCAAGCACTGGAAATACGACCCTAGCGGCAAGGACTTGAGGATGATTTCTAGTGCTTTAAATCATAGTCAAGTCCTGACTTGAGCATTGAGTAGAGTTCTGGAATACGACCCTAAATGACATTAGAATAGACAAAGTAGTTTTCGAGTTATCAAGTCACGAATATTTTATGGAAACGGTAATTACGTCACGTAAGAAAGTTCAAACATTTTTTATGAAAAACCATTGACTTACAATTATATGGACGTCGGGTCCGCGCTAAAAAGTGTCTGAACTTATAGGGCGTTAAAATCGTATACAGAGCGTCATTCACGCTTT